CGTCCTCCGTTTTTACCGCAGCTTTTCACAACCCCAAAATTCGGGCAGGGATTTTAAAAATCTGCCTTGGTGGCTCCCCGCTTGTGCTCGGCAGTACGTTTTAAACGCCTCATGGGCAGGTACCGTACAATAAACCACAGAGCGACTCCTTGATTTTAAACAGAACGTGCGTCGCCGCCGTGTCTCCGGACGCTAAACGCACTGCTGGCGAGATTATGTCTCCACCATCACCTCTGCTTTCCCTATGAGTGCAGTCTGGAAAAAAGTACAAAAATGGTGGTAAAAATTCTCCTGACCCGGCTCCTGTTTTCTGCGGTTTTTCCCTGTTGATATAGCAAACCCACTAAATTTTTGCCAAAGAAATTGGCAATCACGGTCCATTTCCAGGGCTCACTAGCCCCTCATTTTTCCTCAAAGTCTGCCAAGAGTTAGCACCCTTGGCTTTTCTTCTCTCAGAGAAAACTAAATGTGCCTTTTACACTTCAAAAACTGGAGGAACACTCTCAGCTTTTCGACACGGCACGGGCCCGACACATTTATATTTGATGCTACAAAAATTTTCATCGCACCCTGCATCCTATTTCACCCTTTCAATCTTTTTGGGCACAAGGAGTTTTTCCAAGCTGGGAAATCCCCATTGTTCCCCTTCCGCAAACCCGCACTCGGGACATGAAACCTCCCACTATCGTCCCATTTTCTTTTACCGTGCAGTTTCAAAGTAATGGGAACGTCTGTAAATAACTTTAGTGTGGTATTTTTAAAACACACAAAAAGTCTCTCCACCGTCAATATGGCTTTCGTAAGGGACGTTCTACCATAACCCCCTTTCTCCCCTTGGATACTATGTTCCCTAAAGCCTTTTCGAAAACCACTCAGTTTTTGCCATATTTTTTGAAACCCTTTAGAAGGCATAGACACAACTTGGGGGTATAATATTTTACCCAACCCACTCCTTTGGCCCTTTGAGGAATCTAAACCCTCCTTCCTTAAAACTTTTAACTGACAGGTTTCCGTTTCGGGGTTTAAAATGTGCCCCCCCCCCCCGGACTTTGTCCAAGCTGAAGGTGCCCCCAGGAGTGTTCGAGCACAACACTTTTTCTCCTTGCTATTAATGATTTGGCCTCTAGCTTTCCCTCAAATATTTGGTCCAAACCCCAGTTTATATTTGCTATGGGCCCGTGCAGGCGCTGACTGTCACCTCCTTTCATTCTCCCAGCATGCTCGACCGGTTTCCAATTGGGGGCCCCCACCAGGGGTTTTTTAAAATTTTTCCCGCACAAAAAACCCCCCAAAACACTTTTTACTGACGCTCGTCATCTCGATCATCCTTTGTACTTATGTCACTAATCCCTGAACGTGATACACAAGTTTTTTGGCCTCCCTTTTTATCAGTTATCCTGGGAAACCCCCCATTCCTCTCGAAGGCAATTGCACAGCCGCTGAACCCTTCTTAAAACCCTTGCCTCTTTCGTGGGGGCGACGTCGAACCCTCCTTCCCTACATTCCACCCCTTTTTTTATCGAAATTGATTATGGGGCCAATCTATTTTTAGGCATCTCCTGCTACCCCCTAGCCTTTAAAACCCCCTTATCACCAAAGGGTTACGTTTAGCCTGGTGCTTTTTTGCTCTTCCCTGCGAAAGCCCTACAGAAGCGAACGTTCCCTCCCTTTCCGATGCCTGATTCCCATTGCCTGCGCTACTATGTACGCTCTCATATCTCCGAATCCTTCCCTTTTTAGAATGGTCACGAATTTTAACATTTTTTATTTTTTCGCCGCCCCGCTTTCTCCGTCCCCTTTTCCTTCCCTTCATTCGCTCTGTCTTCTCCAAAACCCCTTTCAGTACATGAGCATCTCCTTTCCCTACCCCCCCCGGAGGCCCCGCTGTTCGATCTTTTCTTTCTCCCCCCTTTCTCGAAACCCCAAATGTCACGGTCCCTTCCCCCTCTCTTTTCTTGACCACTTTCACTCTCTTTTCATGCCAGTGTGTAACAGATGGCTCTAAGTCTTTTTGACGCTTAGGGTTCGCAGCGTTTCCGGGCACTGTACAAGGGGATTACTATCTCATATATTTTTACTGCTGAATTTTATGCCCCCTTACACACTTTTCCTATTGCACTATGCCTTTCATCATTGTGGGTTTTCCAGACTCCCTTAGTGCTTTTCAGGGTATACAAAAATTTAAAACACCCAACCCCCTTTTCCTCCACCAACTTTGGGTACCCGCATCTTTACTAAGCATAAAAATATTGTTTTTTTTTGGTCCCTGGTCATGTTTTACGTACAGGGCAATGAAAAAGGGAGACACTGCTGCGCGGTCAGCAGTACTGACCCACCATTTCTTACAAAGGGATTTCCCTGCGGCATTTTGCGTAATATCTTTTCCCCCCACACCCCCTTGGCAAAAAACGTTGGTCTCTATCCGGCCAAAAACTTCATCTTTAAACCGATATAGGTTACTGCCGTCTTCTTACACCGTGTCAGGTTTGGGGGAAATACTCTCTCCCCCTTCGCATTGGCCCCGCTACCAGGGATTCTCATGGGAGGCGTCTTGCCCTCTCTGTGAGAATTGCCAAGCTCCATTACAGTCAGCCACATTCTTTGGACTGCCCACTTTACAACGGCACGCAATTTTTTCCTGTCGTCGCTTCGCCCCGCCCTCTTTTCCTTCCCCTTTTCCTGTGGGCCCCCCTTTTTCCGACTCTCTTATTGACTTTTTGACAAGCGACTTACTTCACAAATTCTGAATTTCAGCCCTTTCACTTTTATCTCTTGCCCCCCTACCCCCCTCTATCCCCCGCCCCGCGTTTTCTGGAACCTGCTGATCTCCCCCCCCCCTCCTCCCCCAATTTCCCCTTTTTCCTTCCCTACCCTCAGCGCTTATGCCCCTTTTCTTAGCCTTCTTTTTGATTAAAAATAATAATAATCGGTAAATTAGGCCCTTGTCCCAGATGCGACCCACACCATTGACTAACACCCGGGAAACCTTTTTGCTGCAGGGGGAACGGGACAATGGGTTTAAGGAAACTGTTTAAATTTTTTCCACCCGTTGGGAATCAAACCCGAGGGGGTTAAACAGACAACCGTGTACAAAAACATCCCGGGTGTTTTTTCCGCCGGAATCAAACGCAGACCCCTAAACCCTTTAAAGCGAAACCCTTTTTGTTTCCGGGCCATGGGGGCATGAATATTTCCCAGAACTCCCTTTTGGGGGGTCATACACCCCCTTTTAAAACAACTAAAAAAGCCACTAGTTTTCCAGTACGTTTCGAGAAGAAAGTCACATTTGACCAGGGGAAAAAGAAGAGTACTGTACCTGCAATTAGTTCTGCCCCCGGGCCCTTCACGGTTTTTAAAAGGCAGCCCCTGAAATTTTTTTTTTTTTTGAAATATGTGGGATGCTAGTTTCCACGGATGTGACTGCCCCCAAACCTATAAATACTGGGTATTTTAAATGCTTAAAACTTTTGGGCCCCACTTTTTACTATGGGTTTTTTTCTTGAGTGCACGGAAATAATTGGGGGCACATTTTAAATTTTTTAAAACCCAAAAACCCAAACCTAAAACCCACAAATTTTATACACCCCCGATATTTTTCAAGAGACCCATCATGTCACTGGGTCTTGTGGACCCGTTTTCCTCCAGCAGGTTCCCCAAAAAGGGGCCAAAATTTTCCCAGCTCCCCCAAAACAAAACAACGCTCTTTAATGTAAAATAAACCCCAAACCTCCCTCTTTAAACAAAATGCCCAACCACCTGACCCAAAATAAAAAACCCTTGGGGTCAAAACCCCAAATTTGGGCCCAAAAAGGGAAAATTTCAAAAATGAACAGAGATTCATCCCTTTCTAATGGGAAAGGGAATTTGGGGATGACCAAGGGAAAGGGGAAAGGGGCCAAAAGAAATTTTAAAAAAGAAATTTCACTGGGATCAAAGCCCCTCTTGAAAAATACGCAGGCAATGGGAAATAAAATTGCGGGGTATTTTTCCCCTGTTTTGGGTCGGTTTCAGTGAGAAAACAGGGGATGCAATTTAAAACCAAAATTTATAAATTTAATAAATTTATTTTAAAAAAATTTTCAATATAAAATTTAAGTGACGGATATATATTACATTAAGAAATTGCCCAAAAATTTAAAAAACTACTGTAATACTTAAAGTTTTCAGAAAAAATCTCCCTTTTTCATGAAGCCCCCACTACGGGGGAGAGGAGGGGAAAATTTTGTAACCTACTGATACTTTTTTCTTGCCCCAAATACACTTACCAGGGCTAAATGGAATTTTTTAAAAATTTTTTTTCAAACCTAAAAAAAAGTACAAATACGTATTTATTTTTATGATCTTGTAATGATCATTCTCTCTCTCTCTTTAATTTGCATTTTTTTCCCTACTTTCTTTCTGGGAAATTGTTAAAAAGAAAACATCTAATTTGTAGAGTAAAAAAAGTTTTTTTTGTTTTTTGAGACTTATCTAATTAAATACTTTGCTGTAACAATACATATAATTTTTTATAAAATATTCAATCTTTGTACATACTTTTAAATGATTTTTTTAAAGAACACGTTTTAATAATTTTAAAACAAACATTCCCAGGCAATACACTATTGAAAAGAAAAAAAGACTAGTAACAATTTTTTAGAAAAGCTGCATCAAAACCACCTTTTAAAAAAAAAAAGAAAATTTTAAAAGTGAACCATTAAATAATTTTTATTTGGGGAAAATTCCTTTGCTCAGGAGAAAATATTCTGTTGCTTTACAGTGGTAATGATCAATTTTGTATAAACCATAGGGATCAGCCTATTAACTCTCTCATTAATTATGATAATACGTACATACTTCAGTGTAATTATACTGCAAAAGACAAATACTTCATTCATAAATAAGCCAAAATACTTTTGCTTACATCTTTTTATAATAGGTGTCCACTGAATGTAGCACAATATTCCAATGTATATTTATACTAGACTAAAAAGGTAACAAAATGAAGAAAGTCACTGATATTAAAAAAAAAAACATGTAATTCCTATATATTCTTCATAACAACAAAACCACTATTAACAAATAGAGACCCAGCATTTCTGAAACAAGTGGTCTCTGCCCCCATGGAGGCTGTAAGCAAGGTAAATATTAAATGACTAGCGAGTCATCTGGCTAACTGGCCCAGAAACACACACACACCCAGTAACATCTCATGTTACACAGCCTCAGGAGTTTTAATGTGGCATGGAGCAATAATAGTGAATCTAGCACTCTGTTAATAGTGCTTTTATTATTACATGTTTTTGTATTATCGTAAAATTACCAATTCCCTTAATGGTACCAGAATAAAAATATATGAATGATGAACTTAATATCTTAATGAATTTTCCACATATTATAGTATAAACTCAACACAATACAGTCTTGTGCTGCAGTATCATAATTCTGGGATGATATATACTATCATCCCTCTGATTCATTTATATAAAGTTATCACATAAGTACTCTAAAACCCGTATAATTCTACTTTATTTTCAAAAGGTTTATAAAAGTTCAATTATTTATGACTTTACAGAATAAGACTTCCCTATACGATATCAACAAGAATCTCGCTAACTGTATATAATAACATAACTGCTTCCACTGGATACAAAGGCTTACTGCCAACAATAGTAAAGAAGACACACAAATGAAGAGCAAACTTTTATTGTGACAAAGTTTTGCTCTAAAATCAGTCGCAGCACCAAGGAGGCTGAAGCTCCCTCAAAAATTCCACCAGCCTCAAATAAAAATAATAATACACAAATAACCCGCACATAAAAGAGAGAAGCTTACAACGACGTTTCGGTCCGACTTGGACCATTTACAAAGTCACACTGGTTATGTGCGGGTTATTTGTGTATCGTTCCAGTCACGGTATTGTGCCTTTTTTTGTTAAACATAATAATAGTAATGCTGCTTCAAGATAAGCCCTCTAGCCCCCTCTTCCAACCAGATTGCTACCCTTACCACTAACTTTATAAAGCTCTAGGGCAAAACATTGGCATTAACTTGTTAAAGCTCTACATACAGTAGAGTGAAACACTCACAATAAAAGCTTGCTCTGCACCTAATTTTTTTTTCATTAACTGCTTCCATTTATACAAATATAACAATACAACCTTAGTTATTGGTGATGCAAGTAGTAGGTTCCAGTCAAAAGAATGCCATAATTATCAACATTCTTGAAGCCAATATCAGAATACCTAAGCCACTGAATCTGATTTGGAAGACAACATACATGTACATTAATTTATACTGGGCAAACATCTTTGGTGTATGTGCCAAATTTGTATTCTGTAAAATATCTACTTGTGGTTTATGCATCACCAGAAAATTATTATTTTCATGGTAAAGCTCTAAACCCATGGGTGTCATACAGCACCTGGGATAAGGAAGGCAATTAGGTTTGATCTGAGGAAGGGGAGGGTGACTGCAATATCTTAGATCAAGTGTCTTTCACTAACATCAAGGCACCTATCTTGAAGGGTCCCACCAGGGATGTTTAGTCAGTACTGTATGGGAAACACACTAGTGTTATTGTACAATAGTCTGGACAGGATTTGACAATGATTTCTAGCATTTGTAACCATTACAACAATATTATGTTTGATGAAGACATAAAAAAAAAAAAAGGATTAAAGCTGTTGAATTTACCAGCGTAAAGTGTATGGTTAGAGTAATTACCTGAAAGAATTCAGAGTTAAACAAACTGCAGCGATCACAGATGAACAAGGAGGCTTTAGACCAAGTGTTTACAATGAAGTATATAAGTAAACAATAATTAGATAAAAGTAAGAGATTTTTGTTGTATTAATGGAAAATTAGGACGAAAATTTCACAACTAAGTGATAAGAATATTAAAGTGCTGTAATTTCATAGAAAAGAACCTTTGCATGTTATCTTGCTTCAGGGAGTACAATGCCACACACTAGAACACACGTAAAATGATAATGAACCCTTATGTCTAGTCTAAATAGTTAATTATCCATGAAAACACATTAAGAAATATTTTAAAGTACTATACTTGAGTATTACACTCTTAAAAAGTAATTATGTTATACAAAATTTTGCCAACCTGTTACTAGGCTTCAGGATGATCTCATCTTCATTTTATAAAATGCTAAAAAGTACTATAAATGTGATTTCTTTAGAATTTTATCATGTTTGACATTCTTTATTCAGAAAAAAAAAAAATGCCCATTAGGGGTAGGTAAGATTCCCCACAAGCCAGCTAATTTATAAATGAATAGAAAAAATAAATCTAGCTCTCCACAGTACATAATGTTTTTGAATTATTCATTTTCCTTACTGCCTTCTTCATTTACTCTTATAAATAACTTTGACAGTGTGGCCTTAGTATCTCTATGGGTGATGCCATATGAGTGTACTGTACACTCACACACTTTGTCCCAGCTCCCAACCTTAGCATTTTTAAACTGGGAATATTTTGAGATGTATATTGGTCACCAATAATCAAGGTTGTATATCTGTTGCATAATGCTTTCATTAGTTGATTGGGAGAAAGACTGTACTTTTGTTTCTAGGTCCACAAATATTAATGCACAAGTACTGTAATATGGTATGCATACAGACTTATATACAATATTTTCTTATTTTAAAGCTTTATTGCAAAGATAGTCTTGTTTTAAATAACTTGTATATAGCAATTTTAGCCTTGCAGAAATACTAAATAACTATTTTGAGATATATATTCAGGGTTTTTTTTTTCTTTTACTGACAAAATACTGTTCATTACAACTCTTATACACACAGTATTTATGTTAAGTCATCAGAAACATTTTTGTTATTAATTGCACTCTTGGGATTTATAATAATTCTATAAACATTAACAAAATAAAGAGTACAGTACTGTAAAACATTTACTCAAGCTGATAATATTGTGGAAATGCTGCATTTTTCCTAGTTTTTCACAATTAAATGAAAAGATCATATTGAGGAAGGGAATAATTCTAAGGCCATCACAATAACCCTAAAGCTGATAATAAATCAATCTTAAATGGCAAGTCATTGCACTTTGGTAATTATTATAATTTACTAAGAAGTTTGTCAGAAAACAATATTATGTGCGTACATGCAGTTCACAGACTAGCAGGGAAGCCCATGCAGCCTTTCACTGTACCGTAATGAAGAATATTAGGCTTACGTTCACCATCTCAAAAGAAAAGTATACAGTACCTGTATACAGGTATATACAGATATACTGTATATCTTTGTGAAACATAGCGTGTATAAAAAATGGAAAAAATTCTTCTCAAAACACACTACTTATAGCACATCAGTAATTTAATATAAAATAAGCCCTAACATTTTAACTTCTTTTTTGAGATAAAATTAAGGGTAACATAAAGAGTAACAATTAAATTCCTAATACTTCAACTAACAAAAACTAATTAACGGAACTCGCAATTAAACAATAATTTAATTTTTCACTTGATTATATCCAAATTCTTCATTTCACATTACATAATGGCACTAAAATTTGATAAAATAGTTAATGGTAATCTGTAACAACAATAATAATATAATCAGATAAAGTGCCAAACCCAGAAAGATTCATACTGCACAGGGTCATCTTTTATCTCTATCACAATGAATGGAGCGATACCAACAATTATGAAAATGACAGCAAGACTATGTTGTGACTGCTTCTGTCTTGGAATACAATCTGTAACTTTTTCTTTCTTGGACACTGTTTGTCATGAGATTCATGACTCAGTTCATAATAAAATGATGCAATTTAAGAAACAACCACTTATCTAAGTGAGAGACTTCACAAAATTCATTATCTAAAACCTCCATTATCATTGTTGGTGCAAGGTCAATGCTCCTTACAATATCACAAATGGATTCCTAAACTCTACATATCCTTAAAAGTCATCGTTGCTGAGGTGAGCAAGAGCTTTTTCATCAACATGAGATTCATCCACAATGTCCACCATGTCATCAGCAGGACTCTTTGTGCACTGTTGATAAGAAACACAAGGTTACACACAAAAGACTAAATTATGACATAAAACATAAGCTTAAAAATACTGAGTTACAAAACATAAACCAAAAATTAAGTAATTTAAAAATTTTTTTTTTCTGTTTAACACGTTGGCCATTTCCCACCGAGGCAGAGTGTCCCATAAAGAAAGAAAAACCCAAAAAGAAAGAAAAAACTTTCATCATCAGTCAACACTTTCACCATCGCTGATACATAATCACTCTTTGCAGATGTGCTCAGATATGACAGTTTAGACGTCCCTCCAAACTGCCAATATCCTAAACCCCTCCTCTAAATCAGCATTGAACTTTCCCAAGCTTCCATACTCAAGTCTGGCTAACGCGGTTTTCCCTGAATCCCTTCACAAAATATTGCCCTTGCTCACAACTCCAACACTCGTCAGTCCTCCAAAAACCACGCCATCTCCTTTCACTCCTAACACACTTCATGCACAGCTTGCTGGAAGTCCAAGCCCCTTGTCCACAAAACCGCCTTTTCCTCCGCCCCTTCAAACTTTTTGGATGACCCCTACCCTGCCTTCCTTCCCCAACAGACTCATATGCCCTCCAAGGTAGCTTCTACTTTGTTTCCATTCTCTCTTAAATGGCCAAACCGACGCTCAACAGCCACTCTTCAGCCTCGACTAATTACTTTTTATTAACTCCACACCGCCTCCTAATTCCACCAGGATAAACTCGCATAATATTTACAGCACACAAAGCCCTTAGACACGGATCCTCCACTGCCTCCAGCCGCCTCCCAGCTGCAGCATTTTACAACCCATGCTCAAACCCATATAAGAGTGTTGTACCACTAGACTTTCGTAAATTCCTTCGTGCCTCCGATATACGTCTTAGTCTCCACAGATACCTTAATCGACCACCCGCCTTTTTCCTTCATCAACTCAATGTTACTCATCCTTCATAAACCCATCTGCTACAAGTCAACTCCCAAATACTGACAACATTCACTTCTTCCATACTCCCTCCCTCCAATGTGATAAAGCCTATATTTCTTTATCTAAATCAGTTGATACCCTCATCAGCCCCCTTAACTCTGACTATATTCACATTTAAGTTTCTACCTTAACCACCCTCCCAAACTCTTTACTAACCTTTGCAACTTTTCTTTATAATTCCCCCAAAGGCACAGTATCATCAAGCAAAAAAGTAACTGCGCAACTCCCATTTGTATTTGATTCCCATAATTTAATCCCACCCCTCTCCGCCAACACCCTAGCATTACTTTCATTTACAGCTCCCTATAAATATGTTAACAACCATGGGACATTACACATCCCTGTCGAAATCTACTTTGACTGGGAAGTAATCTCACCCCCCATACACCCTAACCTGAGCCCCCCCCTCACTATCCTCATAAAAACCCTTTAAAGAAGTTAGTAACTTACTACCTATTCCATACACCAGCAACATCTGCCACATTGCCCCCATCCACTCTATCTATGCTTTTCTAACCCATATATGCAATGACAAACTCCCTACCTTTACTAAATACTGTTCACATATATACTTCAGTGTAAACACCTGATCTACACATCCCCTAACCCATTCCAAAAGCCTCTTGCTGATCTGCAATTCTGCTTTCTGCCTTACATCTAGTCTTTCAATAATAAACTCACCCATACACTTAATTGGTATACACAGCAAACTATTCCTTATAATTTTTTACAATAACTCTTTGTCCCTCTTCCCGTATATATAAAGAATTATACACTCCTGCCATCCCTAGTACATTCCCCTCTTCATAACATTATTAAACAAAAATACCAACAATTCCTGTCATGATTCCATCATTACAGCTGCTTTAACCCCCTGCCATTCTACATAAAGCTCCACCGCACCTCCCCTCACACCTCTCGGCCTACTCATGTTCACTCCTAAAAGATTTATACCTCCCTGCCTGCATGAAATGACTGCCTCCCTTTCTCATCAACAATTTAAAAGTTCCTCAAAATATTTACCCATCTACCCAATACCTCCAGCTCCCCATCTAGCTACTCCTCTATCTCGTTTTTACTTATAAATCCATGTTCCCTATGCTGTCCTTTTATTTAATTTTATTTTATTAACCCATCGCCGATTTCCACCAAGCAGGGTGCCCGTAAAACGAAAAACTTTCATCATTCATTCACTCCATCCACTGTCCTTGCCAGATGGGTGCTTTACACTACAGTTATAATATCTGCAACTGTAATAGTCTTTGTGCTTAGCGCTTCTTTTTTGATTAAAATAAAAATAATACTGCATACATAACAAACCCCTCCTCAGAGTGTAGACACAGACTTCCCATCTCCAGGACTCCAGCCTGGCCTCCCCATTTCCCTGAATCCCTTCAAAACTGTTACTACTCGCTCACACTTCACCAACAGGCACATCAAGTATTAAAAACCATTTGTCTCCATTCACTCTTATCAAATACGCTCACGCACGCTTGCTGGAAGTCCAAGCCCCTCGCACACAAAACCTCCTTTACCTCCTTTACTTGTTTATTTCACTCCAAAATTTTTTCTTATTTTCAGCAAAATTTTTGACAGTGCCCTTCCCACTCTTATCATTTGCTCTCCTTTAGCACTCTCTTACCATTCTCTTCACCTTTCTATTACTCTCCATATACAGTGGACCCCCGCATAACGATTACCTCCGAATGCGACCAATTATGTAAGTGTATTTATGTAAGTGCGTTTGTACGTGTATGTTTGGGGGTCTGAAATGGACTAATCTACTTCACAATATTTCTTATGGGAACAAATTCGGTCAGTACTGGCACCTGAACATACTTCTGGAGTGAAAAAATATCGTTAACCGGGGATCCTCTGTACTCGTCCTTTTTATACACTTCTGCTTTTTAAAAAACCCCTCTAAGCTATCTTTTTTTCTTTTATCACACCCTTTTTCCTCATCATTCCCCCACCTCTTTTTTTCTCCTGCGCTACAAACTTCTGCCCCCCCATTCAATTTTAAAAAATCCATAACCTTCCTACTGGTCATTACATTGTACGTCCCATACATTGGCATTTTTTTTTTTTTTCAACACTCCGCCATCTTCCACTGAGGCAGAGTGTCTGACAAGAAGAAAACATATTTTCTGTCACTCATTTAGTCATTTTCTTGCCAAAGTGTACCCAAAAAACAGTTCTGGTGACCCTCCAAACTGCAACTCCCACTCATCCTTCAGTGCAGGGACTGTACTTTTCACCTCCAACTCAAGCCCATGGGGTTTTTGCTGCCAATATTTTAGACTTACAAAGCCACATAACATGTTTGGTGTGGTGTTCTCTTTTTCTAACAAGTTATCATCTTATGTTAAATAAAGTGTTGTAAAAGTAGTGTACCTGGTTAATGGTTATCCTGGGTAAGTTGATCTGCTCTGGGTAGATCCAAGGTTTGTAATTTGGATTGTTGTGAGACTTCCAATCAATGTACTTTCTACTTGCTTTATGTAATGTCTTCACCATCTGCAAGTAATCACTAAATTAACCAATAATACATTTTAAATTTGTTAGAGTTGGACTTTTTACTCATTACTGCAATAACTAGATAAATTCTGGTTACTGTACAATCAAGTATGTACAGTACCCCACCTTAAAATAACCCCCACCTCCCTTAAAAATAAATAGTATAGAGAACTTATATAATGAAAACATCTTGTTAAGTTCTAATATCTTGTAAACTGCTTACCCAATTAGTTAGAAAATGCTAAACTGTGGTCATAATGCATTAGTATATTATGTTGAAATTTTAGCTCTCAGCAATCTGCAAAATAATATATAAATATATCCTTCAATGGGGTGCCTTGATTCTGATGAAGGGTTCGTGATTAAAAAATGGAGCTACTCTTCCCTTTCTTGGATCAAACCAGCTTCCACGTAGATATATACTACTACTACTACTACTAATAATAATAAAATATTTTTCTTGAGAGTTAATAAGAATGAAGTTAATGATATACAAATGAAAATGCAGAGAAATCTTTACAATATTAGTTAAAACAGTGTCCACTGGTTCAACCAGAGAGAGATAAATCTATACAACAAATGTTAAAGAGAAAATTCTGTAAAGCCTTATCTTTTAGAAGTTGCAAAAAATTATTAATTAAAAAAAAAAACACTTTCAAATGAAGAAAAATGTCCTGTCGTAACTGAAACAAAATATATAATAAATAATTATAAATTTAAAGTAATCTAAATAAATCATTTAAAATATACTTACCAAACAAATAGTTAATCCACTCAGTAAATCAACATATTAAAGGTTAAGATAATCCAAGATGCTACAAAATATACAAACATAAAACAAGGAAAGCAACTGTTAAAGGGAATAAATATATTAGAGAGGTACAGCAGTATGGTGTGGAAGTAGCAAGGGTTACCTTAGGAGCAAGCACATGAGTTAACTTGTTGACAAGCCAAGGTGGTAATGTTCCTCTGGGGTCGCAGTGAGAGACGTAACTGAAGGAACACCCACCAGAAGGTAGTGGGCGAATCAGGTAGCCTATGGATAGATATACTGTACTTGTATGTGAAGGTCTAGGATTACATGCCTAGGGAGAGCCAGGTTAGTAAGGAAATTACTCAGGTTAAAAGAAAGTTTCTTTGTTGTGATAATTAGGAATAACCATACCTTTTTTTTCCCCACAGTGGCTGTCTCCCAACAAAGTAATGTGACCTCATCCCACTACCCCCCTCCCCCCCCCCCCCCCAAAAAAAAAAAAAATCACCATCATTCATTCAACAGCTATATTAGCAAGAAACATGTAGACAGACTCCAAATAACCCTCTGAAAATATAACAGTACTGTATTCTTATTAATAATGCTATTAGCAATTATTTTCAGTATAAAAATGCAGTCAAATCCTGTTCCCCCCTAACCTGTTAAGCCGATAATTCACCATCCTGAACTGATCACTTCATAATGAATAAGTCATACTCTTAAAAGCTGAAATCATAAAACAGTAAGAACAACTTTTACTCTTAAGACAATTCCAGATCAAGATATGGCTAGATGAGTGTTCACCAGGGACTGGTAAGTACAGTATTAAAACTGTTTAAAAAGACTGCTGAGTGATACTAAATTTTGGTGTGAAAAACTGTAGACAACTCTAGCTCATGAATGAATGAATAAATTGAAATAAATGCAAATTCCCATGCTTTAAGGTTAAATTTAATTTTATAACGAATTAGCAATTTTCACAAATTCTTCTTTCCATGTTATATTTAAATAAAACAAGTGGCCTGTATCAAAACAACTGAAAGAGGAGATATTATGCCGTGTTAGCCAACTGCAAATAGTGCTTGCCACTATTTGCAATGGTTATGTTACTATCATTCCCATGAGTTACAATTAAATTCTATAATGAATTAGCAATTTCCATGTGTCTCTTGACAGTTTAAACTAGGTTGCACTACATGATACTGTACATTATAGTACTTACACATTGCTCAAATTTCTACGATCAACTGTATACTGACTGAAGAAATATTACAAAATGGAAGGAAAATGCAACTGAACAAACTGCCAAGCAGCTTCACTGGGGTAAGTTAGCACGTTAAGAGACCATACAATAAGTGTCAGGGGCCTGAGACTGTTCAACTGCCTCTCAGCATACACAAGGGGGATTACCAACAGACCCCTGGCAGTCTTCAAGCTGGCACTGGACAAGCACCTAAAGTCGGTTCCTGACCAGCCAGGCTGTGGCTCGTACGTTGGTTTGCGTGCAGCCAGCAGTAACAGCCTGGTTGATCAGGCTCTGATCCACCAGGAGGCCTGGTCACAGACCGGGCCGCGGGGGCGTTGACCCCCGGAACTCTCTCCAGGTAAACTCCAGGTAAACATAATAGTATGCTCCTTGCTTAGCAACCAATTCACTTACTGACGTGGTCTTAGGAACGTAACTCCGTCGTTAAGTGAGGAGAGGATGTAATAAAAAAGCCTGTGACTGTTATCAGTTAGTGTAATTCTCCACTTGTTAATATTAGGACAAATTTTTGAGGGAACAGAATTCTTCCTTCGTAAGCCATGCATGTCGTAAGAGGTGACTAAAATGCCGGGAGCAAGGGGCTAGTAACCCCTTCTCCTGTATCCATTACTAAATTTAAAAAAAGAAACTTTTGTTTTTCTTTTTAGGTCACCCTGCCTCGGTAGGATACAGCCAGTTCGTTGAAAAGAAAATCATACTCTGCCTTCTGAAGTAACGAGATACACACAAAAGAGATAATATTAATGACGAATAAAACATCATCACCATTTAAATTTATAGGGTTATCACGTGATATATGAGTGCAAAGAACATTACTAACATGATTTATACAATTTACCTTAACTTGCAAACAATAAGTTATGCTAGAAATGTCCATGACTTACCAGTAAGGTGAGAAAGACCTCGTACAAAGCCTTTCTTTGGAGGATACTGGTGATGGTATACAGAATGATTCAGAACATACAACTCTCGGCCGGTATCCAGCCAAGACCTCTGCAGGACAAAATCCCGATTTTTTAAAGGTGTTGGACATGAAACTGGAAAAGATTAAAATTTCCAATTAATAAGACAGATTTAAAGCAACTTAACATCTGAATAAGAGACTAGGAAATAACACACTCAGGGCAATGTGTGTTGTGAATATTATGCAGAAAATCTGGAGTTTGGAGAAGTGGAGTTACCTAAAGCATAATTCAGAGGGCTATGGTACTGAAGTGGCTAGGGCATTTAAAGAGCACAATAGGATGACTAGGAGGGTGTACAAACATCAGGTGAAGGTAGGGAGAGATGGAGATCCCAGGAAAGGTTAGAGGGAGAGCGTAAAGGTTTTGGGTGATAGAGGCTTGAGAAACAAACAGCCTTGTGTGGGCATGTTAGATAGGAGTGGAGACAAGTGGTTTTTAATCGATGTGCTGCTGGAATGCAAGTAGGGTAACTTTCATGAAGGAATTCAAAAAACTGGCTCATCTGTCTATATCTCATACAGACAGACGAGTGTTAGATAAAAGGCGAGTTGTATAGTTTGTCGCAATTAGTTTGATAGGTTTATTAGGCACCACATACCCACGGTGTGGGTGGTAGTCATAAAATTACAGACACACAATATGACCAGGGACTAGGCCCAACATTATGCTAGCTAAGAGATTTACAGCAGTAATGAGCTACAGTATTTAAAATATAATAAATTCTGAACAGCAGTGGGAGTTTGGTTACATAATGAATTCAGTCACAACATTACAATGAAGCATATTCAATGTGTTATACATACACTGGTCTAAGGAACTGGCAAAGATGCTTTATGAGAATTATTTACAGTAGGCAAAAAACATTGTATTTATCCAGCAATTTTTGTAAAGTCATTGTGACTGAAATATTTAGACTTTTATTAAAAATTTGTGAGTGAAATGTCTCTAAATTACTGATTTTTTGTTTTCTTTTGAGTACTGTACATGTCACAAAGCGAGAAAAGACTGGCTGATAAAGTTTACATCTGATCATAAATTGACTTACTTGCATAGTAGGAAACATCATTATTGGGGTTGAGGTAGCCAACATCTACAGAATGAATCATGTGTTTGTCCCATATTTGGCGATAATGTGGATCATGGAGGACATCATATAACACATTGGCATCTATGTCACTGTACACAGTACACACCTGTTGGTAATAAAAATTAAGAAGAGTGCAAGCAGGGTGAGTACTTCTTGCAACACTGAAATTTTAGCTCTTTCACTACAGAACGTTTTAGAATCTATTTTGAAAAAAAAAAAAAATGGTAATAAGATCTCTCACACTAAAAATTATTTAATCTGGTAGCATGCTGGCATTATTTTTTTTTTTTACAATATCAACTATTTCCCCCAAAACAGGGTATAACTGGAGGGTATTCTGAGGGTCAATGCCCCTGTGGCCCAGTCCATGGGTGACACAAAGAAGGAAACACATTCACCATCATTCTTTCTCTAACTTTCTTGATAGAAGTGTACATACATGACAATTTAAACAACACTCTGAACTACATTCCCAGCCATCCTTCAGAGCAGCAGCTTTATACAGTATTTATTAAGATTGCCCATACATATCTATCAGTAATATTCCTTATGTAGTGCAATTAAAAAATATAAAAGCACTTTTGTTTACCTTTGATATTTATTCCATTTAGTCATGAATTACATAGCTGCAAAACAAATATAAAGAAGAATATTCACAATAAAATGATTTAATGAGGCACAGCACTGCATTAAAACGTGAAATAAACCTAAGGTACCTTTATCATTTGAAATGTTGAATCTTTTGTTGGTCTGGTATAAACTTTGGTGGGTGGGTGATCAAAGGCTAGGTTCCAGCCATCATGACAATCACAAAGTTGCTTTAGCCGCTCAAAATCACGATCTTCTGCTACACGTACCTAGGGAATGAAAACATGTTTATAAGTAAAGAATAATCATTAAACTAAAATATCAAATCTGCATTCTAAAGTCCAAAATTTCCATGGAAAGCTACACTTCTTACACGGTAAGAGAGAAAAGACATACAGTACTACATTAGTGGACATACAGCATACAATACTGTAATATCACAATAAATGCATTATTAATTGATTTTACATTTGTACAAAGATCTTTTATTTATACTTATTGCTTAGAATACTGTTCTGTCCACACATCTCTTCAAGGAAGGCAAGATATTTGAGCTCAAGAATATACAGGCATCATATCCTACTTGCATACCACAGATTCAGCTAAAGTTTTGAACTATTGGAACTGCTCATAAGCACTCAAATACTCTATCACAGAAACAAGAGCAATATCTTGTAATTTGTGGAAAATAGCTGACGGCCAGATAACTAATCTGCACACTAAAAATAACACTGTACTTGAGCTGTTTAGTTAAATTTACAAGCATTAGAAATGTGTCATTATTCAGCACTATCAACATACAATATACTGTTTGTAACATCATTATCTCTTTGATATAATATTATCATCACAGTATCAAAACTATAGTGACTGATTCACTCTCCCATTATAGAAATCACCACAAAGTTAGCAAAGCTGTTCAATGTCAATTAATCACATTCAATAAACCATATACATAAATTGTTCTAGATCATTGGCAATAAACCACAGGCAATTTCAACATAAGGGACAGTATTCCTACTGTTTACAATGAAAAAATATGTTTTTATTCTTAATCAGACTAGCATCCTGTGGAGTGTGTGGCACATGTCTCGAAGAAAAGGCAGCCCTATCCCCTAGGCACAAACTACGTGAAACCTGTCAACTCCTGTTATGTCACAAACCATTAACAAGATGGAGTGGTAGTCAACTGTAATCTTGATCCCATTGCTTGAATAACAATAGTAACCATAAGGGGATTCTCCACTATGGAGACAGGCAGGCCTTGAAGCCTGAGTTAGCTGAAAATGCATGAGTATGATAAAGAACCATACATTCCCTTCCATCTCTGCATCTTCCCCACTCACAATGGAGCTCAAAAAAAATAAGCCCCACATAGTGACAACCTCAGTGTTGATAATGAGATGCACTCTAGAAACCATTATAAGGCTAGTAATGCTTACAGGACTAAATAGGTGTGAGTCCGCTAATGCCTACCTGATTCTAGCCAAACATGATCAGTTAACTGAAACAGTGAGGCAAGTACTGAACCTTCACTTTGATTTATGTGGAACAAATAGCAAATGAACACTATAAGGAACCTGAACCTTGCTGTGGAAGGTCTGAGCAGGAAGGAACCTGGGACACAAGCATGAAGTGCTCCAGTGTGTCCAGCTGGGAGGGCCACAACTGATGGAAAGGGTTGTTGATCAATGTCATTTTACTTACCAAATTGCCAAAGAAATAAAACTTTTATTTATATAGATATATATATATTTTTTTTTTCAACAAGTCGGCCGTCTCCCACCGAGGCAGGGTGACCCAAAAAAGAAAGAAAATCCCCAAAAAGAAAATACTTTCATCATCATTCAACACATTCACCACACTCACACATTATCACTGTTTTTGCAGAGGTGCTCAGAATACAACAGTTTAGAAGCATATACGTATAAAGATACACAACATATCCCTCCAAACTGCCAATATCCCAAACCCCTCCTTTAAAGTGCAGGCATTGTACTTCCCATTTCCAGGACTCAAGTCCGACTATATGAAAATAACTGGTTTCCCTGAATCCCTTCACTAAATATTACCCTGCTCACACTCCAACAGATCGTCAGGTCCCAAGTACCATTCGTCTCCATTCACTCCTATCTAACACGCTCACGCACGCTTGCTGGAAGTCCAAGCCCCTTGCCCACAAAACCTCCTTTACCCCCTCTCTCCAACCCTTTCGAGGATGACCCCTACCTCGCCTTCCTTCCCCTATAGATTTATATGCTTTCCATGTCATTCTACTTTGATCCATTCTCTCTAAATGACCAAACCACCTCAACAACCCCTCTTCTGCCCTCTGACTAATACTTTTATTAACTCCATACCTTTTCCTAATTTCCACACTCCGAATTTTCTGCATAATATTTACACCACACATTGCCCTTAGACAGGACATCTCCACTGCCTCCAACCGTCTCCTCACTGCTGCATTTACCACTCAAGCTTCACACCCATATAAGAGTGTTGGTACTATTACACTTTCATACATTCCCTTTTTTGCCTCCATAGATAACGTTTTTTGACTCCACATATACCTCAATGCACCACTCACCTTTTTTCCCTCATCAATTCTATGATAAATCTCATCCTTCATAAATCCATCCGCCGACACGTCAACTCCCAAGTATCTGAAAACATTCACTTCTTCCATACTCCTCCTCCCCAATTTGATATCCAATTTTTCTTTATCTAAATCATTTGATACCCTCATTACCTTACTCTTTTCTATGTTCACTTTCAACTTTCTACCTTTACACACATTCCCAAACTCATCCACTAACCTTTGCAATTTTTCTTTAGAATCTCCCATAAGCACAGTATCATCAGCAAAAAGTAACTGTGTTAAATTATGGGGAATTTGATTCCCCATAATTTAATCCCACCCCTCTCCCGAACACCCTAGCATTTACTTCTTTTACAACCCCATCTATAAATATATTAAACAACCATGGTGACATTACACATCCCTGTCTAAGACCTACTTTTACCGGGAAGTAGTCTCCCTCTCTTCTACACACCCTAACCTGAGCCTCACTATCCTCATAAAAACTCTTTACAGCATTTAGTAACTTACCACCTATTCCATATACTACTTGCAACATCTGCCACACTGCTCCCCTATCCACTCTATCATATGCCTTTTCTAAATCCATAAATGCAATAAAAACTTCCCTACCTTTATCTAAATACTGTTCACATATATGCTTCAATGTAAACACTTGATCTACACATCCCCTACCCACTCTGAAACCTCCTTGCTCATCCACAATCCTACATTCTGTCTTGCCTCTAATTCTTTCAATTATAACCCTACCGTACACTTTTCCTGGTATACTCAACAAACTTATTCCTCTATATTTTTACAATCTCTTTTGTCCCCTTTCCCTTTATAAAAAGGGACTATACATGCTCTCTGCCAATCCCTAGGTACCTTCCCCTCTTTCATACATTTATTAAACAAAAGTACCAACCACTCCAACACTATATCCCCCCCCTGCTTTTAACATTTCTGTCATGATCCCATCAGTTCCAGCTGCTTTACCCCCTTTCATTCTACGTAATGCCTCGCGTACCTCCCCCACACTTACATTCTGCTCTTCTTCACTCCTAAAAGATGGTATACCTCCCTGACCAGTGCATGAAATTACCGCCTCCCTTTCTTCCTCAACATTTAAAAGTTCCTCAAAATATTCTCGCCATCTACCTAATACCTCCCTCTCCCCATCTACTAACTCCCCTACTCTGTTTTTAACGGACAAATCCATACTTTCCCTAGGCTTTCTTAACTTGTTTAACTCACTCCAAAATTTTTTCTTATTTTCATTAAAATTTCTTGACAGTGCCTCTCCCACTCTTTCATCTGCTCTCCTTTTGCACTCTCTTCACCTTTCTTTTACTCTCCATATACTCTGCTCTTCTTATAACACTTTTGCTTTGTAAAAACCTCTCATAAGCTAACTTTTTCTCTTTTATCACACCCTTTACTTCATCATTCCACCAATCACTCCTCTTTCCACCTGCCCCCACCCTCCTATAACCACAAACTTCTGCCCCACAAACTAATACTGCATTTTTAAAACTATTCCAATCCTCTTCAACCCCCCCCCACTACTCATCTTTGCACTAGCCCACCTTTCTGTCAATAGTCGCTTATATCTCCCCCGAACTTCCTCCTCCCTTAGTTTATACACTTTCACCTCCCTCTTACTTGTTGTTGCCACCTTCCTCTTTTCCCATCTACCTCTTACTCTAACTGTAGCTACAACTAAATAATGATCCGATATATCAGTTGCCCCTCTATAAACATGTACATCCTGGAGCCTACCCATCAATCTCTTATCCACCAATACATAATCTAACAAACTACTTTCATTACGTGCTACATTATACCTTGTATATTTATTTATCCTCTTTTTCATAAAATATGTATTACTTATTACCAAATTTCTTTCTACACATAGCTCAATTAAAGGCTCCCCATTTACATTTACCCCTGGCACCCCAAATTTACCTACTACTCCCTCCATAACATTTTTACCCACTTTAGCATTGAAATCCCCAACCACCATTACTCTCGCACTTGATTCAAAACTCCCCACGCATTCACTCAACATTTCCCAGAATCTCTCTCTCTCCTCTACACTTCTCTCTTCTCCAGGTGCATACACGCTTACTATAACCCACTTTTCACATCCAATCTTTATTTTACTCCACATAATCCTTGAATTTATACATTTGTAGTCCCTCTTTTCCTGCCATAACTTATCCTTCAACATTATTGCTACTCTAACTCTAACTCTATTTGAAACCCCTGACCTAATCCCATTTATTCCTCTCCATTGAAACTCTCCCACCCCCTTCAGCTTTGTTTGACTTAAAGCCAGGACATCCAGTTTCTTCTCATTCATAACATCCACAATCATCTCTTTCTTATCATTTGCACAACATCCATGCACATTCAGACTTCCCACTTTGACAATTTTCTTCTTCTTATTCTTTTTAGTAATCTTTACAGGAAAAGGGGTTACTAGCCCATTGTTCCCGGCATTTTAGTTGACTTTTACAACACGCATGGCTTATGGAGGAAAGATGCTTATCCACTTCCTCATGGATATAAAAGGAAAAGTAATAAGACCAAGAACTATTAAGATAAAATCAAAGAAAACTCAGTATGTTATAAATAACGGTAAGTAGTTAAACTAAAAGTAGAATACAAGTATGCCTGTATCTTGATATGTAATCTTGATATATATATATATATATCATTCATTTCACTTATGTTGTTGAGTTGAAGGACTGCGATAGCTCACATGGCCATATGAATTCTCCTATTAGAGTAGTAGTATTCTATTCAACTTCATTTTCGTTAAAGTTAATTCATTAAAATCTGTTTATTTATTTTTCAGTTTGTTTATTATAATTATTAACATACTTAAAATATTTATATAGGTAAAAAAGTGTACAGGAAAATTACAGAAACCAGAGGTGTGAACACATTTTTACTTGTGCGCTTAATATTGTACGTAAGCATTTCATCTGCAACCAGCCTCACAAAGCAAACTTATCCACAATAATTAGTGCTCACTGAGAGTACAGGAGGTCACCGATTTACAGACACACCCCAAGTTATAAACATCTGCACTTATGACCCAACTGCATTTTTGCCAAGTCAATGAAACACAAATACACCTACCATCCGACTTACGACCTGCTTGACTTACGACCACTCGACTTACGACCGTGTTTTTTATGCCAAATTTCTGGGAAATAAACAACTATTTGTGTTGTACACAATGTTTATCCTAAACCTTACAGTATAAAATACAGTACTAACAACATAAAAAGTAAAGTAAAACATGAAATACCAAAATAAAACAATAAAATAAAGTCATTACAAAAATGTTTTTTTGATATTCAGTAGTAAAGTTCGACTTACAACCATTTCGACTTACGACCAGTTTCTCGGAACCAAACTCGGTCGTAAGTCGGACGGTAGGTATGTATGTATGTGAAACCTAGCCACGTCTTGTAGTACAATACTGCTTTCTATAATAACAATTTGTTTACAAGTTGAAACACCAACAATGCTACTCATTTGTAAGATGAAGATTTCCTGTATTATTAAATTTCTTATGATTATTGTGCTTGCAAAATGCTTTCAAATTATGTGTTGTAAACTTTGCTGAGTATAACAACAGTATCATAAGTATGGAAGGTGCAACACTGTTATGCAACTGGTGATTCTGTGCACATGTTCAATACTGGTAACTGTGCACAAGTGTAATGCTGGTGATTCTATGCCTCTCTTAACCCTTTGACTGTTTCGGTCATATATATACATCTTACGAGTCATTGTTTTTGACGTATTTACATACCAAAATTCTAGCAGCTTCAAATCAAGCGGGAGAAAGCTGGTAGGCCCACATGTGAGAGAATGGGTCTGTGTGGTCAGTGTGCACTGTATAAAAAAAAAATCCTGCAGCACGCAGTGCATGAGGAAAAAAAAAAACCTCCGATTGTGTTTTTGGATTAAAATGCTGACAATGAGGTGTATTTTCGTATAGTATTTAGGGTTATATTCTCATTTTCTTGGTCTCATTTGATAGAATGAAAGACATATTACAAAAATAGAGATGATTTTGATTGGTTTCATGATGAAAAGGACCTTGAAATTGAGCTTAAAGTAGTGGAAATGTTTGATTTTTGCCAATGTTCAAGAACAAACAAATGACGTCACTGTTCAATAAGTGTCCAATTAGCCATTCTAATATGCAGTCATGAATAGGTTGACATTATTTATACAATTATTACAATAATGCATAACAGTAAATCTTCTATTTTTTGTGTGAATAAAAATTCAAAATAGAAAGCAAGAGTAATATAAGAGGGGCCTGGAGGCATGACTGATGAACAGAGAAACTGTTATTTTAGTGCCAGGAATGTCTGCATTGTTCATTCTGGACCCTATTTTGAAATTGCCATCTTTTTTAATTTGCGTGAAATTGGCCAAATTGCCAATTTCCGACCACTTTATTGGGTAGTTGAAATTGGTAAATGAGTGGTTTCTTGTACTCAATCGATAGAACAAATGGAGTTCTAAAGAAATAGCAATGAGTCTGGTCTACTTGAGCAATGTAATTGGTTGAAAATAGGGCTCAAATTGGGTGAAATCGCTGATGTGTAAACATCACCAAGATCGCTAATTTTGCGAGAGAGTAATTCCTTAAGTTTTCCATCAAATTTCGTACTTTTGGTGTCATTAACATCAGGAAAAGATTCTCTATCATTTCATAATAAAAAATATTTTTTTTTTTAAATTTTATGACACAGAGAGACTTTAGGATTTGGGGTCACAACAGTCAAAGGGTTAATTATTTAAACAACAATGGAAAATCTTAGCCTAACCATATTTCAACAAAATTGAAAGAAAATTTGCTTTACCCAAATTTCAACAAAACTTAGAAGTCCTAAGTTACCCATATTTAACCCGTAAACGGTCCAAGCAGATCTGCGTTCACATGTGTAGTGCTACAAAAGTAGATATAAGTGTTTTTTACATATTTTCAAATATAACAAAAAAAAAGGTAGATCAAAGTTTTGTTACACATTTTCAAATGTAGAAAAACAAAAAGAAGATCTACTTTTTTTACATACTGTACTTTCAAATGTTGAAAAAATGTATATATACGTTTGGACCGTTTACGGGTTAAAAAAAATAATACTGTATCTAATTGAATTTAATTTTGTTAAAACCCAACCATATTTATTTAAACAAATGTAAAACCTAACTGCTTCAAGTTCTAAATAATCAATATGTTTCAGATTTAAAGTACCTGATTTACGAGGGGGGTAATAAAAAAAATGTACTTGTGGTGCTGAACATAATCCCCACCTCTACCCCATCACAACTTATAGCTGGCACTTTGAAGATGTGATTAAAATGGTTTTGAAAATCAACATGATGAGAAAACATTCTGCCAGCTGGTGGCTTCTTCAGTCAAATACAGATAAAAATGTTTCCTCAGTAAAGTGTTTCATTCTTCATGATACAGATAATGTTTCCTCAATAAAGTGTCTCATTCTTCATGTTACCATTCACAAAATAGCTTATGCTGTAAAATGGTCAATTAATACTGTAATAGCTAATGTTAATTAAATAATTAACTTAATCCCCCTCCCTAATTATTTATATAAATCATTCAGAATGCTGATCTACATATATACAGTATAAGGATAGCAAAAATATATTTTACATTTTAATATAGGCAAATTCTATGATGAAAATTTTCAGCATAATTTACTACAATAGATTTTTTCCTTTAATATTACAGTACTGTATATACAATTTTAAATATAGTAAACTATATTACTCATTTGGAATGAGATACATGCAGGAATATAATGTAATTAACAGAGTAAAGAATGAAGTAAATTTAAGTTTCCATGCCTGACAAAACAAAATATGCAGTACTACATTTCAGTGAATTTTAGCCCTAAATAAAGGCCATATTTATATTCAGGAAACAAAGCAGTTAGAGGAATGACTCGCCATGGATTCATATCTCACCTGTCCCTGAGTTACTGTATCAGTACCAGTACCTATAAATTCTATTTGAACTAAAACAACCTTAACTAAAAATTTCGTGCTAGGCAAATCCCATTTAAGAACTCTTCCACATGTTCTAAGCAAAGATTACCTCATTTTAAAAAGGCTAAACTTTTAACACTGAACCAGATGTTTCTGACCCAGTTACATAACTGGCCAATTAGCCATGAACTATACATGTGTAGTATATCGTATTTATATACCACACATATGTTAAGTTAGGCATCATTAAACTAGTGCAAATTGGATTAAAATGAGGAAAGCTCAGAGGAGAAAAAAAGAATTAAAACATGCAGGTTTGGTGTGAGTACATGTTGTAGTTTAAAAAGGAACAATAATTAACCTACATAATCTCTTAACTAGATTTCCAAACCAAATTTAGTTGCCTTTGAAAATCATTCTTCTTTCTGAGCTTCTTGAAGGTAGAGCCACCTCTGGACTTCTCAGTTGCACAACATTAACATACTTTCAACTATTCAGGGATCTGCAGCAGTGCTTGCAACATTTAACAATGATTTGTGTATGGTAATGTTGCTTTCATTAGCACAGTAACTGTCAATATTTCAATGAAGGCTTGTATGTGGGGAAACAATGAGGGAAGCTCCTCCAGCTTATACACATACATGGACCATGAAAATAGAAAGTGGGTAATATTTTGTGATGGGATTCAGGGAAACTGGCTAGCCAGACTTGAGTCCTGGAGGTGGGAAGTACAGTGCCTTCACTCTTGAAGGAATGGTTTGGGATACCTACTGTTCAAAGGGACATCTAAACTGTTATGTCCACGTGCCTCTGCCAAGACATTGATAGTGTGAATGATGGTGAAAGTTTATGTTTTTCAGGTCACCGTGCCTCGGTGAGAGATAACCAGCATGTTAAAAAAAAAAATTATGTATGTACAAACATACATACAGTAGATAGAAATTGCAGCACTCAGTCTAGTGGAGGTGCAGCTTATGACCAAACAATCAGGAAATAACAGTCATAGATTTTTACCTCTCCCATAATAGTAGTACCACCCATGTCAACTAAAGCTAATCTAGTTTGCTACCTTCAATAAGATTGGAAACAAACTTTACAGACTAACAACTAAATTATGGCTCTTTTATGTAATTGGTACAAAGAACCTATCTATTATTGATACCATTATTCAATTAAACTTTTCAAATATTTTAAAAATTTAGGTGAGACTATGGTTTTACTGTATTGCAGTGGAAAATATTAACAGTACATAGAGTCATATTAATAAATAAAGACTGTTGCACAATTCATGCATATTAACAAATGAATGGAGAGCATATCATACTAATAAGAGAAGCCTAACTAACCTCCAGTCTATGCTCCTCTTCCTGACGTTCACGCTTCATGATGTGATGAATCAAACAAGCCTAGCTCAAGGCTTAAGATACTTTATATATTGCTCCAGCTGAAAACAATATCTTCACTCAGAATAATAATTATACTACATAGCATAATTTTGCAAAAAAAAAGAAAAAAAAAAAAAAAGACTATTACTTTCTGTTAAACTAATAGGAAGTTCCTCGTAGAAAAATATTAACCAGCAAGACTAATGAGAGAGTGGTCAATACACTCAGCTACTGTACTACAGATGATAAAGCATAAATCACACAGACAAGAATGCTTGCTCTGGCACCATATAAGGAAGGTGAAATTAAGAATATGGGGTAAGGTGTAACAAGCTTTCCAGGTACAGTAATTAAGTTTTCAAATATCAAAGGGTTTAAATGCAGCCTTTTAAAACACCATAAATTAATTCAAAGCACAAGGAAAGTTAAATAAGGGTTACATGACTCCTATGTACATAAACTACTTTAATGTCACAGTCTACTTTACTAAATACACACAAAATTAAAACATCACATTCCTGACATGATAAATCTTTTTAATCTTTTCATCTACATTCAACTACAATGCTGTTATATTCTCTCTCAAGATCAAAACATATCAACCAATAAAATTATGTTGAAGGCATGGCAACACCTACACTGCATACTGTACAATAACTCCAAATGTCCACTTACTCTCTCTCCATCTTGAAATGACCATCATTTGTATCACTTATGTACATTAGCTGTCATAATGGTCAATTAAAGTCTCAAAATCTATGGTATGCAAAAAAGTTACATACAGAATTAAAAAATGGATACAGTACTTACCACTCTCTTAATGCTATCCTTGCCTATGACAGGATGCATACAGTATATACATACACTGACTATGAACATGTAACATATTAAACATTCGAGGATGAGAAGGGACAGTTCACATAAAATACTCTATTCATCTTCATTTGTTCTGAAGCACAAGATGAGTCCTTCTTCCATGGTAAGGATTGATCCAACATCGGCCAGGAAGTGAAAGTCACTGTTTCCTCCGGCAACACATTGATGAAGCACAATTACAGTATCTGTTATGTGTGGTCAGATGTACTGGTTGCCCAACAACTCTATATGGTGGTCAAAAGAATGGCCAGGGACAAAGGAGGCCACTCTCATCTTCTCAGTTGCTTTAGTAGCCCATAATATGCTTAAAAAAAAAAAAATGCCACATGCTTCAGAACTACCACAGCCAACAAGTCAGGATTGCAGGAATTTGCTGTAACCCTTTTGGCTCTTTACAGGGTTGGAGTCCCTCGCATACAGCATCCTGGTCTTGCTAACAGATCTTTTCAGCATCTAAGAAATTCTAGCTTATGCCTATTATTACAGTCAAAACTAAGCGCTAAACCACCAGGGCCATACAGCGCTAAGCTTATGCCTAACACATGACTAGGCACACAAATGACAGATATTCCCCCCTTTCAGTGCAAAGGTCCAATTCCAGCAACTGTTTCAGGCCTTTTTTTTTTCTTTTGGCCTCTTATGTTTCACCCAGGACTCCAGTCTCCAGGATTCTACTCCTGGATGCAGGTTGTGCAATGACCATGACAAAAACAGGATGCTTGGCAGGCCATTAGCTAGCATAGGGGCCTTTACTGAAAATCACGTCCTTTCCTTTCCTTCGCACTAACAAGGAATCAGCTCATTCCTTAAGGGTGCTTTCCCTCTACATTGCTTCGAAACAAGAATCCTTTATTTCAAGTTGATTTGGTTAAATATCTTCAATGTTATTTATATCCCTAATATTTAATCTCAGTTTACATACAATTTATGCGCAGTTTTACAAAATTATATCAGATGTATATTAATCATCATTCCAAACTGTCTCTTATAATATTCAAGTACATACAGTAGACCCTCTTATAAAGCTATTCTACATAGTGTAATTTTTTACAAACGCAATGAAAAATGCATAAAAAATTGAACAGGACACATGTATTATGAAGGCTCTTTCCCAGGTTATTCAATTTTGAATGCATTCTAACACTTGCATTTACAAAAACTTGCACAATATAGAGGAACCTTATAAGAGAGTTTACTGTAGCAATGTGTGCCATTACTACATTCATGGAGGAGGGGGCTAAATCTGTAGAGGTCTTACAGTGCCATGAATAACAGGAAGCAATCAGGTTCGATTATATATATAAAAAAAAAGCGATCCAATTCCTTGAATCAAGAACCCCTTACAAGCATCATGGGTACAATGTGTCAATCGTCATATCCTGTAAACATTTTACATTTCATTAGTCTTCTTGGTGCATAATAAAACAATCACAAGTGTTGAAAAATCTCTGGTTTCCTACCATCACTTGTGGATGACCAATCATGCTACATAAATCATTTAATATTTTTGAAGAATTGTAGAAATATTCTGGTGAAGCAAAGATACTGCATAACAAGCCTTAACTTGATAAATTATTATTATATTTAGGGGAAGTGTTAAGCCCATAGGAGTCATACAGTGGGAGGCAACCAGGTTCAATTCAAGGGCAGGTCCAATTCCCTGAATCAAAAGTCCCTTACTAGCATCAAAAAAACCTCCCTTGAGGAGATCAATCAGATCAAATTAACAGAAAATAACACCTCAATAACATGTACCTTTCCATCACTTAATGTGAAGTTTGGGGTTCGAACCGTGGTGGTGCAGTCACAGCAATACACAACTGCTCTGCACGACCTTTATTAGTCGAATGGTCGTGTCATCTCCCAGAGCATCCTTACAGCTTGGCTCCTATATCCTGACTGAGCTATACCCCATGGCAAGCCGAGGGTTTTGAAACCAGAGGTCAGTATCAGTGACCTTTCAGTGTGACTCGGCTCACCATCTCAAGTCTACAATGGTCTCTGCTTAAATGTGTTACATACTAGCATTAAACTATTAACACTATTGTCAGCAGTAAGCCATTTGGATCCAGAATAACCTAGATTATGTCATCATAACATGTAAATTTTGTACACTTTTGATGACTATACAATATATAATGTGATTAGCAGTAAATCCTAAGTTCAGATTTTTTGTACAATACTATTATTATTATGTTCATGAGGAAGCACTTAGCACACGTGGATCATACAGTGGCTGGGGGGGTATGGGAGGCATTCAGGTTCAATCCAAGGAAGGAGAGCCCAGGTTCAATTCCTCATCAAGAGCTCCTCCCTTGTGGGGTCTATGAATTTTGGAAATGTGGGACAAAATCCACTGGGTCAACAGAATAAAAAAAAAAACAAAGTTAATCAGTTATAGAAACAATGATTACCGTTACGATCACGACAAAACAATCTTATCTCTATCCATCACATTCGCCATTACCAACCACCCGCTCCCTCATCCCTATTAGTCCACTAGAGTATTTCCTGTAATACTATTTATGTAACTTTGCCCAAACAAATAAAAAACAAATTAGAAAACAAAATTAGTGTGATATGGTGGAGCTGGAGTCTGACCTTAAGATAATTTTAGCCTTTCCTGGGTTATCCTGGGTGGCTAACCCTTTGGGGTTAAAAATTAATACAAAATCTTATCACGTTAACTACAGGCTGAACTAAATACATCATTGTTATAGGTATTATTTTATGGTTGGTTAGTTAATTTGGTTTAAAGCCTGTCAACTACACGATTATTAAGACTACACGTCACCTGCACACCACCAGTCAAGGATACTTTCATGTACACAATCGAGGTTAAAGCAAATTCCCCGAGTATACACCAGATATACACACCTGTGTATATACAACTTTCATAGGTAAATTATTCAGATTTAACTAAGTCAGTATAACTGGTAAAACTATATGTGAAGCATTAATCTCACCTCTCCTACGTTTCATTTTGCACCGAGATATAGCGCAGCAGAGTGACGGTGTGAGGTGAAGGTGTTAAGGAGTGGCACATATGTTAACATGTTAACATTGCAAACTCAGCAGCAACATCACAGCTGCTGCAGCTGTGTTTACCTCAGATGAGTATAAGTACCATAACCTCTGATCCTCTCTCGTTTACAAACTCCCTAAACACACGCTTAAAAGATTAACCAACACTCAAACCTGTTACTGAGCCCAACATAAAGCATCCGATTCCTTGTTCCTGAATATGTGCGATTGCCGATAGAATCCTCCAGCAGACGACATTGAGCACATATTTGCGTGGGTGAAAGCCCTTACCTGACACATTAAAGCTACACCTATCATGTATCACACCTGTATGTATACCATATACATACAAGTGGATGGTATATGTTGAAGTGGCATGGAAGAGGGACTCAGGGAGATACATTCGGGTGGGATACATAATATATGCAGGCGGGATACATAATATATGCAGGCGGGATGCATAATACATGCAGGCGGGATGCATAATACATGCAGGCGGGATGCATAATACATGCAGGCGGGATGCATAATACATGCAGGCGGGATGCATAATACATGCAACAATGCATGCAGTATACATAATGCATATATATATATATATATATATATATATATATATATATATATATATATATATATATAATTATATATAATAATATATATATATATATAATATATATGTTAGTGGTAGACAGCAACCACCCAGGAGGTACTACCGTCCTGCCAAGTGAGTGTAAAACGAAGCCTGTGATTGTTTTACATGATGGTAGGATTGCTGATGTCTTTTGTCTGTCTCATAAATATGCAAGATTACAGGCATGTCTTGCTACTTCTACTTACACTTAGGTCACACTACACATACATGTACACATTTATTTATACACACTCATCTGAGTTTTCTTTGATTTTATCTTAATAGTTCTTGGTCTTATTAATTTTCCTTTTATATCCATGGGGAAGTGGAATAGGAATCTTTCCTCCGTAAGCCATGCGTGTTGTAAAAGTCAACTAAAATGCCGGGAACAATGGGCTAGTAACCCCTTTTCCTGTAAAGATTACTAAAAAGAATAAGAAGAAGAAAATTGTCAAAGTGGGAAGTCTGAATGTGCGTGGATGTTGTGCAGATGATAAGAAAGAGATGATTGTGGTTGTTATGAATGAGAAGAAGCTGGATGTCCTGGCTTTAAGTGAAACAAAGCTGAAGGGGGTGGGAGAGTTTCAGTGGAGAGGAATAAATGGGATTAGGTCAGGGGTTTCAAATAGAGTTAGAGCTAAAGAAGGAGTAGCAATAATGTTGAAGGATAAGCTATGGCAGGAAAAGAGGGACTATAAATGTATAAATTTAAGGATTATGTGGAATAAAATAAAGATTGGATGTGAAAAGTGGGTTATAATAAGCGTGTATGCACCTGGAGAAGAGAGAAGTGTAGAGGAGAGAGAGAGATTTTGGGAAATGTTGAGTGAATGCGTGGGGAGTTTTGAATCAAGTGTGAGAGTAATGGTGGTTGGGGATTTCAATGCTAAAGTTGGTAAAAATGTTATGGAAGGAGTAGTAGGTAAATTTGGGGTGCCAGGGGTAAATGTAAATGGGGAGCCTTTAATTGAGCTATGTGTACAAAGAAATTTGGTAATAAGTAATACATATTTATGAAAAAGAGGATAAATAAATATACAAGGTATGATGTAGCACGTAATGAAAGTAGTTTATTAGATTATGTATTGGTGGATAAAAGGTTGATGGGTAGGCTCCAGGATGTACATGTTTATAGAGGGGCAACTGATATATCGGATCATTATTTTAGTTGTAGCTACAGTTAGAGTAAGAGGTAGATGGGAAAAGAGGAAGGTGGCAACAACAAGTAAGAGGGAGGTGAAAGTGTATAAACTAAGGGAGGAGGAAGTTCGGGTGAGATATAAGTGACTATTGGCAGAAAGGTGGGCTAGTGCAAAGATGAGTAGTGGGGGGGGTTGAAGAGGGTTGGAATAGTTTTAAAAATGCAGTATTAGAATGTGGGGCAGAAGTTTGTGGTTATAGGAGGGTGGGGGCAGGAGGAAAGAGGAGTGATTGGTGGAATGATGAAGTAAAGGGTGTGATAAAAGAGAAAAAGGTAGCTTATGAGAGTTTTTACAAAGCAGAAGTGTTATAAGAAGAGCAGAGTATATGGAGAGTAAAAGAAAGGTAAAGAGAGTGGTGAGAGAGTGCAAAAGGAGAGCAGATGATAGAGTGGGAGAGGCACTGTCAAGAAATTTTAATGAAAATAAGAAAAAAATTTGGAGTGAGTTAAACAAGTTAAGAAAGCCTAGGGAAAATATGGATTTGTCAGTTAAAAACAGAGTAGGGGAGTTAGTTAGATGGGAGATGGAGGTATTGGGTAGATGGCGAGAATATTTTGAGGAACTTTTAAATGTTAAGGAAGAAACAGAGGCAGTAATTTCATGCACTGGTCAGGGAGGTATACCATCTTTTAGGAGTGAAGAAGAGCAGAATGTAAGTGTGGGGGAGGTACGTGAGGCATTACGTAAAATGAAAGGGGTAAAGCAGCTGGAACTGATGGGATCATGACAGAAATGTTAAAAGCAGGGGGGATATACTGTTGGAGTGGTTGGTACTTTTGTTTAATAAATGTATGAAAGAGGGAAGGTACCTAGGGATTGGCAGAGAGCATGTATAGTCCCTTTATATAAAGGGAAAGGGGACAAAAGAGACTGTAAAAATTATAGAAGAATAAGCTTACTGAGTATACCAGGAAAAGTGTACGGTAGGGTTATAATTGAAAGAATTAGAGGTAAGACAGAATGTAGGATTGCGGATGAGCAAGGAGGTTTTAGAGTGGGTAGGGGATGTGTAGATCAGGTGTTTACATTGAAGCATATATGTGAACAGTATTTAGATAAAGATAGGGAAGTTTTTATTGCATTTATGGATTTAGAAAAGGCATATGATAGAGTGGATAGAGGAGCAATGTGGCAGATGTTGCAAGTATATGGAATAGGTGGTAAGTTATTAAATGCTGTAAAGTTTTTATGTGGATAGTGAGGCTCAGGTTAGGGTGTGTAGAAGAGAGGGAGACTACTTCCCGGTAAAAGTAGGTCTTAGACAGGGATGTGTAATGTCACCATGGTTGTTTAATATATTTATAGATGGGGTTGTTAAGGAAGTAAATGCTAGGGTGTTTGGGAGAGGGGTGGGATTAAATTATGGGGAATCAAATTCAAAAAGGGAATTGACACAGTTACTTTTTGCTGATGATACTGTGCTTATGGGAGATTCTAAAGAAAAATTGCAAAGGTTAGTGGATGAGTTTGGGAAATGTGTGTAAAGGTAGAAAGTTGAAAGTGAACATAGAAAAGAGTAAGGTGATGAGGGTGTCAAATGATTTAGATAAAGAAAAATTGGATATCAAATTGGGAGGAGGAGTATGGAAGAAGTGAATGTTTTCAGATACTTGGGAGTTGACGTGTCGGCGGATGGATTTATGAAGGATGAGGTTAATCATAGAATTGATGAGGAAAAAAGGTGAGTGGTGCGTTGAGGTATATGTGGAGTCAAAAAACGTTATCTATGGAGGCAAAGAAGGGAATGTATGAAAGTATAGTAGTACCAACACTCTTATATGGGTGTGAAGCTTGGGTGGTAAATGCAGCAGCGAGGAGACGGTTGGAGGCAGTGGAGATGTCCTGTTTAAGGGCAATGTGTGGTGTAAATATTATGCAGAAAATTCGGAGTGTGGAAATTAGGAGAAGGTGTGGAGTTAATAAAAGTATTAGTCAGAGGGCAGAAGAGGGGTTGTTGAGGTGGTTTGTGTCATTTAGAGAGAATGGATCAAAGTAGAATGACATGGAAAGCATATAAATCTATAGGGGAAGGAAGGCGGGGTAGGGGTCGTCCTCGAAAGGGTTGGAGAGAGGGGGTAAAGGAGGTTTTGTGGGTAAGGGCTTGGACTTCCAGCAAGCGTGCGTGAGCGTGTTAGATTGGAGTGAATGGAGACGAATGGTACTTGGGACCTGACGATCTGTTGGAGTGTGAGCAGGGTAATATTAGTGAAGGGATTCAGGAAACCGGTTATTTTCATATAGTCGGACTTGAGTCCTGGAAATGGGAAGTACAATGCCTGCACTTTAAAGGAGGGGTTTGGGATATTGGCAGTTTGGAGGGATATGTTGTGTATCTTTATATGTGTATGCTTCTAGGACTGTTGTATTCTGAGCACCTCTGCAAAAACAGTGATAATGTGCGAGTGTGGTGAAAGTGTTGAATGATGATGAAAGTATTTCTTTTTGGGGGATTTTCTTTCTTTTTGGGTCACCCTGCCTCGGTGGGAGACGGCCGACTTGTTGAAAAAAAAAAAAAAAAAAAAAATAAAAATATATATATAATATATATATATATATATTTTTTTTTTTTTTTTTCAACAAGTCGGCCGTCTCCCACCGAGGCAGGGTGACCCAAAAAAGAAAGAAAATCCCCAAAAAGAAAATACTTTCATCATCATTCAACACTTTCACCACACTCGCACATTATCACTGTTTTTGCAGAGGTGCTCAGAATACAACATATATATATATATATATATATAATATATATATATATAATATAATATATAATATATATATATATATATTATATATATATATATATATATATATTTTCAACATGTAGACGGGATGCATAATGCATGCAGGTGAGATACATAATACATGCAGGTGGGATACACGATGTGTTGCAGAAACTGTGGGAGATGTATGCAGGTGGAATAGTTTATGCATCCAAATGGGATACACGTTATAGTAACAAGGGGAGATACACGATACATGCAGGTTAGAGATAACTGATGTATACAGGTGGGTATACTATACGTGCAGGTGGGAGAGACATGTATATTGCAATAACATGTGAAATACACAATACATGTTAACTGAATATCAAAATGACATACAATACCGACAGGTTGGTAGGTAAGACACAGGCAACTTTATTCCGAAGCGTTTGGCCTACACAGTAGGCTTCTTCAGTGAGGTACAAGAAGTAGGCAGGATCAGTAGAGATGTTTATTTATTTATTTATTTAGAAATTTTAGCATACAAACAGAGGTACAAAAAATACAGGTAAGAGCAGCATGCCAAAGCCACTTATATGCATAGCATTACGGGCTGGCTTAAAATTAACTTAAGATTAACTAAGCAATGATGAAATCAGTGATAAGACATTATTGTAAACAGATAACTATAAAATACAAATGAGTATTACAAAGACAGGTCATATGGTTGCATGCATTGTTGTTCATTCAGTAGAATGGAGTA